GATTATATTTTCATAAACAATACATTTTATAATTCTGGTGAGTTTGTTACTACTGTGTGGTATTTCTGCTTATTCTCATCATGTTGTCTTCTCTCTGTGAATGCCATATTATCCTTAATTGTTTATTGGGAATTTTATTTTCAGAATTGCTTATAATAATGATCGGATGAGTAGGATGATATTATTTTACTATACAGGGGAAGATTTTATATTTTATGAGACACCTAGATAAGTGAGCTGTAGTCCATACTATTCACTTGCAGAGTAAGACATCTTCAAGTTCAAGTACAAACAGCATCTAGTCCATTATTGCCCGTATCCTATATGGCTGGAGGAACAAAAGCCACCAAAAGGCTTTAAGCCTCAGTCATGTTCTCAAGATGGAAAATTTCCTAAAGGGATTTGTGACTCAAGGTGCAATCTTATCTCTCAAAGTTACAGTTCTCTCCAAGGCATAGATTGAGCAATTCCTCACTGTCCTGTTATCTCTTTCATGAGATAAAAATAAGAAGGAATGAGAAAGAATATGTCTCTCATATAGTCTTTTAAAATTTGTATTTGTATTTATTCCAGGGTTGGTTTTGTTGTTGTTGTTGTTGTTGTTGTTGTTTGTTATGTTACTTCTTTAGTAGAAGAGTTAGTCCAAATTATCTAATCCATTGCTACCAAAGGAAAATTTCTAGATCTCTTATTAAATTTATTTTGTTTTATTTTTGCAATGCATATTCTGATATAAACATACAATAGTTTACAGATAAGCAATTAGTATTAAAAATTCCAGACATTTTATCACAGTAAATTAGTGTATATCTTGACATGTCTAAATTAGGTAAGAATTAACATTTATTTTGAAATTACTTATTTCTTGACAAAAGATACCATCAGAATTTTCTAGTTAGTTAAGGAGTGTGTCATTGAGTAAGTGTGGTTTTATTATGAGAATAATTAATTATACCACTTAGGATTTCTAAGTGTCTTTTTTGGTGTGATGCATTTCTTACTTAAGTATTTTATTTTTTCTGTTTTTAATTAGTAATTACTTTTAATGAGGTAGAGAAGGGAAAAACACATGTAATTTGAAAATGTTGCTGATAAAATTTCTTCCATTTTTCATTCCTGTAATAATAATTATATGCATAATTAAGGCAATAAGACTATAGAACTGGTATTAAAATATTCAACATAAGTATGTACTTAGGAACTTGGAAGGAACAGAATCCTGTTTATGATAAATTATATTTTTCTAATGATTTTAAAATAATTGATTTTTAAATCAATTTTTAAGTCAGTTACTAAAATCTTCTTTTTAATTGGTGTTTCACAAATATTCATAGTATTTTATTCCTTTTTTGGTACTATTTTCAGAACGCATACTATATTTACACATGTTCCTATTACTATTTCTATCACCTAGGTTCTATTGGAATAAATGCTTTAAAAATACTTACCTACTGTGGTTGAAGTTGTACTCAACTGTACTTGTCTCTCTCTGGTTTTAGGTCCTGCTAGTATAGATAATTTTTCATTCCTTTGTAAGCGAGCTCTTAATATTCCTGTTAAGTCAAGTTGTGAAAATGAGAAAGTGCAGAAAGGGTTCCAAAGGGAGACACTATTTTACTTGCCTCTTCCTTTTCCCAAGTAATCAAAAGAAAAGCTGATCTAGAAATGGCATTAATAGTCCTCATAAGATGAGATTAGAGGAAACGCCAGAGCTGGATCTCTGATTTCTTCCCTTGAATACTTGAGAGGTCCTCCACTAGGAGACAAGGCTTATAGGTCAAAAAACGTGCTGAAGTGTTTCAAAAAATCTAGTACCATCTGTTAAACCTAGCCTGTATGTGATTTTACTCAAAGACTTTGATATGTGTGCTATTATTGGAGCTGAAAGAATGGAGGTGGGTACAAAAATGGTAGATCTTATTTTCTACAAAGTAGTTGTCTTCACATAACTAGCATAAGCTGTTTGTGGATAGAATGCTATAGAATGAAATATGCTTTCATTTAATGTATATCTATGAAAATGTAGATTAATCCTAATTAATAAGGAATTAAATTTTCAATATTTTTTCCTTGGAACTAATTTCGGAACTAACAACTTTGAACACTAAATATCCACAAACACTCAGAGAAAACCAACCTGTACGAATAGCTCTTAAAATAAATGTTAAATCGGCTTACAGATTGATTCATAGTTATTGTTTTGGGTCGTTAATCAAGACATAGTCACCATTTCTTTATAAAACATAAATCCAATATGCTTTATATGTATGTTCTTTACCATTAAAGCAGGTTTAATGAAATTTAGAATATAAGAATAAAAACGTTTAATGTCAGTGACTTTGTGAGATTAAATCTTTGCTTGTTAATAGCTATCAGAAAGACTAGTAAAATAAGTATGACAGTTTTGTAGGTAAAACAAATTTCGCTGCTAAACATATTTAAGCAAAGAACCACTTGATTTTGAGAAGTAGCAAGTGAACATAATTGGCTTGGTGTATGTAGTTCTATGTGGTATATTAGAAAGAGGAGAAATGTATATGTAACATGAAATATGCAGGAAAAATTCTAAACAGTTTTCAAAATACATATCATTATTTAATAATACATATCACTGAGATAGTTTTAAAAATGATTTTAAAATGTAATCTCCAAATTAAAGAAAATTTTTTTACTGTGCTTGTTAATATACCCTGGGTGAATAGTAATTCTTGTTTCTCATTATGCATCCTCTCAAAAAAATTACATTTTAGAAAGATGTCCCACATTGTTATGCCCTATCTTTCATTTACTCTAACATGTTCATATTATCTAATTAGCATTGTTAATGCATAACTACCAAAAGCACAACTGATTTGAATGCCCGGGGATATAATACCAAATGATGGAGGTTAGTGAAGAGATTCCAAAGTGACTTAGTAGCAATTATATTGCTAAATGTCAGAATAGCCAATGCTATTGGCTATTGGCATTGGTCAGAATAGCCAACGCTAACATATGGATTTTAGAACCAGATGTCCCCATTGTCTCTTGGATGATTTTATGAGAAACCAGAAGCTGGAATTGAGAAATGTTATTTAAAACTATAAATAATCCTTATGATACTCTCATGATGTTTTTACTCTTATAATTCTTTTTCTATAAGTTTATCATATTTTAAAAAACCTGAAGAACACTGTGTTTGAAAATTTCAGATGTTTTCTATGCTTAATTGGTCAAACATATAAAATATAGATAAATAAATAAATAAATAAATAAATAAATAGTAACAGAATTAGTATTAAAGAGAAGCTTAAACATATTGCCTATGTTCTTATTACTCAGGAAACTATGAAATAAAATGTGAAAACAGATGAATGTCATTAGGCAACATTAGGCTGTCAATACAAATGACTGAGCAACATGCTTGTTACCTATTTCTATCATTTCTGGATGTAATGACAAAAAGAATAATCTTGGGCTGAGTATCATAGGGTTTTTCAGTTTCAAAAGCATGCCTACCCCCTTCTTTGACAACACAAAACACTTCTGACTTAAGTAATTAAGGCTTTTAAATTTAGAAACTAGATTTTATATAACAATGTAAGGGTCAGTTTATTTCATTTATTTTCATAAGGTAATGGTGTGGCAGACAGTGGTTCATGACAATAGAGATCATTTAACATTCATACTTAGCATGTGCATGTGAGGAATTGTTTAATCCTGGTCTTACATTACAAAAATGCATGCCATTTTTGACATTGCTTTTTGTGATTGCACCAAAAAATAAAGTAACTGTTTATCAAATAGTTACATTCTATAAACTATTTGATAGGCATTTTTCTTCCTTCTCATGAGGACACATGATTCTGAAAGAGAAAAAAAGAAGGTAGAATGGTGAAAGGAAAGGAAAGCGGCTTGTGGAGGAAACAGCAAGGATAGCACCTGATCATATTTATCGCAAATTAAAATCCATCACTTTCTCTACCCAATGCCCCCGTGAAAAATATCATCAATTGCAACAAAGGAACAAAAGATAATCATTGTTCCTCCCCACACTACCCCCATGGAAATTTCAGTTCAGAATTGTGGTTTGTGATATTTCTAACCTGGCTAAAACTGAGCAAAGTCAAAATGCAAGACTCAGTCATAGCATAGAAAAGACAGTGCCTGTGAATGTCAGCTGAGAAAACTAAAGGGCAACTTTCATGTGGAAGAAAACTGGTAGGCTTATCCAGTCATTTCTCATGATAATCGGCAATGACAGAGTTGTTAATTCCCATAATTGGTAAATATTGTCTGAAAGTAGAAAGGGACAGCCAGATCCAAGTTATAAATTATATTTACTGGTTCGGCAAAATTATTAGAAGAAATGTGTTGAGTAGTTAAAAATATTATATTTAACTTTAAAATTTAAGGATCAGGAAGCAAGTGTACTATACCAACATTGTCTGACTGATAAAGGCAGCTGGCAGAATTTCACTTAATTACTGTGTGGTTGGTGAACTTCAGTTTTTCCTCCTTCAACTTTCCAAATAAATCTTACTCCTTTAGAGTCAGTTTATGTTTCCCAGCATAATGATGCATTTTACCCATTCAGCTATGCTAGTGTTCTCTGAAGCCAGCCAGCAATGATCTCACCGCACCTACCATATAAATCTATCAGTGAATAAACAACATCATTTTTATTTCAATGCCGATGACACACTACATGTCGATTTGGCAGTTAAATAATTTATCTCTCTTTTGGGTGCAATCTGCCAGGCTTATTATAACTCTACTTCTGATATTCATTTCATGTTTAATAGTTCTTTGCCTCATGAGGATGCTTGTCAATCAATTAAATTGAAATGTCATTCTGACCTTTTATTGGAAACTATTTACTCTTTTTTTTCATTTCATCACAAGCTTTTTTCAATTTTATTCAAACTAAAAGCCTTAATTACTAGTATTCAGAAACTTTATAGTAATTAACCTTATAAAACTACAGGCTCATAAACATTACTGACACTTTATCTTTACAGAGGTTATCCAGTTGAGTCTGCCTGAAGATCAGAAACTAAGCATTACAGCAGCAACCGTGGGACAAAGTGCTGTTCTGAGCTGTGCCATTCAGGGGGCACTGAGACCCCCCATCATCTGGAAAAGGAACAATATTATTCTAAATAATTTAGATTTGGAAGACATCAATGTGAGTACATACATAGGTGTTCCTTTATAATTTGTGTATTTCATGTGATATACTCTAGGCCTTGTGAAGTCTGAGTAGCTTAATGAATATTGGGTGTAGTGTAGAAGAGAATTGGAACATTGTCATATCCACACTACTGACTAGGATGTGCACTATAGATCAAATGAAATTATCCAAATCACTTGTGTCGGTGTGGTAAGCAGGTAACGTAGCACTGTGTTGGTGGGATCATATCGACTTAAACCAATAATGTCTGCCTGTCAGAATTTCTACAACTATTAACAATTAATCTTTATGTATTTGCTATTATGGCTAAGCAACCACCTTTAGCTTGTGAGGTGTTAAATTGGGGAAAGGCGGTTTTTGCTTCAAATTCTTCATAATGTATTAGAAATAATAAATATCAATCAAGCAACAAATGGTTTATTTTTTCTAGAATGAAATTGGAATATATTTTTCCACTCAGTTCTCTCCTAGAAATTCAGAATCTAAACTCAATTTGAAAGGTTACTGCTCTGAAAATGAAACAGAAATAGAACAAACTTCAGGGTATTCATCTGTTTCTTCCACGCTATGCGTTCCAAGTGGGGATTAAAATGTATACATCATCCTAGATGATGAAAAGAAGTAAAAATTGTGCATTATGGGATGCCCATGGAAATGATGTAGGGCAATCTTTTGTCTTAGTGATTTGGGGATTTTATGATCTCTTTGAACATAAATTTTAGTTATTTTTTATTATTGCTCAGGAAAGCCATCACCTATCCACTCATTCTTTATTGCTTCATAAAGAAACCCTAAAACACAGATCTAAGAGAGTCACTTCTATATGTTACATCTTACTAATACTCTTGTTTAATGGCCTCAAATTATTCAAAAAAGAAGCTTTCAAATTTTAATTTTTAAATTTAATATTTTTTCTAACTTTGCTTACATCTGTAAAATTTCTTTGGAGAGTACATGGAGAATAATATTTAATTCTTAAGGTATCATGAACACTGTGCATTAGAACAGCTATAATCTCTGGAGCATTCAACAGTCTTTGAGAGATATCGCCTTAAATAAAGCCACATTGGGTTTGCTTTTTATGTTGTTATGTCTACATTTTATCTTTTATTTTTCTATCTTCATTCTTACTATCATGTTTTCCACTGTTATTTCCAGAGGCCCCTGTATTCTATGGTGCTGTGGTTTGAATACCTTAAAATAAGCTCATTTGAATTATTTCAAGACTAAGAAAGGGTATGCTATGAGTAATACCCTATGGAAAAATTGTAAAAATGGGCACATTCTCGTGCATATATCTTATAAATGATTTTACTTACTTCCTAACTTTTGACTCTGTTCTAGAAATGTGAAATCTCTAGAAAAATGATTATAGATAAGTTAGATGTATAAAATATATGTGAGCATTAGATAAATTCTGGTATCAATAGATACATTTTTATTAAAGTTATTTTGGTTACATTTCATAAAGCAGGTACATTTTAAGAAATTTAAAAACATTTTCAAGAATTGGAAAGTTTCAATTTCATTACAAGTCATATTTAAATAAGTTGGACAAATGTTCATAATCTGTAGTATACACATAACTGGCAGCATTCCAAATAAAACTGTAGGGATATCTTTGAAAGGGATATTTATTTAATGTCCCAATGTACTACTGGAGTTTTCATTTAAATGCATTTACCAGTAGAACTAAAGTGTGAAATAAAGCAGTTATAAACTATTACTTATTGTGTTTTGTTTTATACTTATTCTTGCTTAAAGTCTGCTAAAATATGGACCACACCATGTAAATAAACAATCTATCTATCTATCTATCTATCTGTCTATCTATCATCTATCTATTTCTATCCATCTGTATATAGTGTATAGTTTATTGTAGTTAATAAACTATATGGTTGGGGCGCCTGGGTGGCGCAGTCGGTTAAGCGTCTGACTTCAGCCAGGTCACGATCTCGCGGTCCGTGAGTTCGAGCCCCGCGTCGGGCTCTGGGCTGATGGCTCAGAGCCTGGAGCCTGTTTCCAGTTCTGTGTCTCCCTCTCTCTCTGCCCCTCCCCCGTTCATGCTCTGTCTCTCTCTGTTCCAAAAATAAATAAACGTTGAAAAAAAAATTAAAAAAAAAATAAACTATATGGTTTTAAAATATATAACTGTATTAAATATAATAAACTATCATAGTCAACCATATATTATAGTATATTATACATATTATTATATTGTATTTATTATATAATTAACTATTCTAGTTTATTTGATAGATGATAGATAGATAGATAGATAGATAGATGATAGATAGATACACACAGAGAGTCAGTACTATCTCTAGTGGACATATGATGTGTCTTCTGATTACTCAACATCTTTTGAACACCCCTTCAAATATTTTGTCAATGCTTGAATTTTTTTCTTCCCCAAGATAGAAACCAAAGTCTTATTTAATTAGCCTTCTTTGCAGTTAGGGAGTAGATATGTAAATAAAGCTCTGACAAAAAGACTGCTAAAGGCTTCATTTCATAAGCAAGAACAGGGAATTACAGGTACTTTACAGAATTCACTCTCCCATCCATTCTTCCTTATAAGTGCTGTGGCAGCAGATTCTACTTGCCAGGACATTAGTGATAAAAGTTCTGGAGTTGGTCAGTGTTTAGGTATAATTGGGTTTTCATTGGACAGTGTCAACCTGTGGCTTGTGCATTTTTCCATAAGGATGGCTTCTCATTCCATAAGGATGACACTCAGTTCTGGATATTCTATGACCTTCCTACTATCTTCATTAAATGTCTTTCTTGCTTAAAACTCGCTAGAATGGGTTCTATTGTTTGCCTCTAAGAATGTTGTTTAATTAAATTTTCGGGTGTACTATGTTAAGAAACATCTATAAATTACATATTCTTTTTTTTTAAGTTAAATTATTTTGAGAGAGAGAGAGCCGAGGAGGGTCAGATTGAGAGAGAGACAGAAAGAATATTCCAGGCAGGTTCTGCACTGTCAGAGCAGAGCCTGATGAGGGGCTAGAACTCACGAACTGAGGAGATCATGACCTGAGCCAAAATCAAGAGTCGGGCGTTTAACAGACTGAGCTACCCAGGTGCCCCTATAATTATATCTTCTTGAAATGTATATTTCATCATTAGATATAGATTTTGGATGTGTTGAAAGACCAAAATGACCTCAGTATAGTAAAATACATTCATTGTTTATAAGCAAAGAGAACTTCAAACCTTTCAGATATGAGTCAGTTTTATACCTACTTTGTACATATTTATTTTCATAAAAGTGGGTTTAGTTACCATTAAATTATGTAAGGTTAAAATTATAACCACTGACTCAGTGATAGTTTTCAAAATTCTTTCTCATTATTTAATATATATTAGGTAGGATTTAATATATACTTACCTAGGCAATACATACATTCTGATTGCAAAAGATTAAAATAATATAGACATATTTTTAAAGCATAACTACCCCTTGTTTTATTTCCACTTACTCTCATTTTTAAGTGCAGAAGAAATCCTGTGAGATTGCTTTTAATCTCCCTTCTATGAGCTGCAAATATAATTTTATTTTTTTAGTAGGCTAGATTCATATTAATCCTCATTATGTCACTACTTTATTATCTTATTAGTCCTAAAGACAACTACATGAAGCAGGGAATCTTATCCCTATTTACCTATGTGGGGATTTATGCTAGAGAGTTGTTCACCCAAGGTTGTTGAGCTGATAAATGGTACAGCTGGAATGTTTATATGGCCTGATAGACTCTAGTTCTTGAGCTTAACCACTGCATGGAAGTGAGATGGTCTGTCATTTTATGCTACCCTTTGAAAAATGCACCCCAAATAATTCTGGCCCCTATACATTACTAATAGATTTTATATCCTCGGTTATTATGTGTGAGACAGATTGATATTGTTAATGTTAGAAGACTTTCATTTTGCTTGTCTTCTGTCTTCTGTTTTGTATCAAATAAATAAAATAACATCACTGAACTACTGGAGGCAGTGACAGTGGTTTGCAACACAGGCTGGGGATTCACACTGTCTGAATTCCAATTAATATTCAATCTCTTGGGAATGATGTGCTCTCGTTATTCAACCCACCTATGCCCAGCTTCCTTATCTGTAAATTGAAGCTAACAGTAGAATGAACTCATTTTTGCACAAGAGCTAATGGCATAAAGCACTTTAAAACTGGTAACGCTGTATGAATCATACTGTAAATGTTCAGTTAAACTAGGTTCTTGGCTTTCTTTTCTCTCTTCTCCTCCTCCTCCCAACCTCCTCCTCTTTCTTCCCTTCCTCCTGATATATATTTCAACAGCACAGAAACACTCAACCTGCCTAAAACCACAGGAATTCAATGCTAGGACACATACAGCAATAAGAGTGTTTGAAAACTCACAGGAAATGCCCCCACCAAATTTGGTCCAATTATAGTCACTAAAACTGGAAGTTGTTTTTTTGTTTTGTTTTGTTTTGTTTTTGTTTTGTTTTCCTATTCAGTGCAGCTTTAGGAATCAGGCTGACGAAACTTTCTTTAGCAATCTTGTATTAATCCCTGCTCTAAAGATATGCCATTAAATTCACTCAGGGGGTGCCTGGGTGGCTTAATTTGTTAAGTGTCTGACTTCAGCTCAGGTCATGATCTCAGGGTCCCTTGAGTTCAAATCCTACCTGGGGCTCTGTGCTGAAAGCTGGGAGCCTGAAGCCTGCTTCAGATTCTCTGTCCCCCTTTCTCTCTGCCCCTCCCCCATTCATGCTCTTTCTCTCTCTCTCTCTCTCTCTCTCTCTCAAAAATAAATAAAAACATTAAAAAGTTTTTAAAAATGCACTCAGCTACTATATACTTATATATTTTTTTTAGTATCTGTGCCCTCAGTCCTCAACCTAAATTTCTGCAATAGATCATTGGTTTATTTACATCATTTTGTTTTGGGTAGTACTTGGCACACAAACTACACTTCTGGCATTATTATGATTGAACTTGAGTCCTA